TGGGCTTATGCTGGGACATTAAGATTAGTAGGGCTTTAATTTGGTGCAAACAACATAAAAGCATTAATCCATCCTACCTGATAGCAAAGATGATAAAGGCACCTTGCTTGTACTGGGCTAGAAAAGGGGGTCTAGCCCAGTACAAGCAAGGTGTACTTGATAAAGTGTCTGTTGGGTGCACAAAAAACAGTGGTATACATTTTAACATTATGAATTCAGTAGTGGTTTCACATCTAAATAAGGTGGGTTTTATATCACAACCTCTAAATTACGGCCCTTCTTAGCCTTTATAATAAGAAGCCTGCTGCTCTCTGACTGCTACATAAACTAATGTAAACAAAAGGTCCAAAAATTACTAAAGGTGGCAGGTGGTTCATTAAGATGAACAGGGAACTTGGATCCACCTCGGGTGTCTGATCTGAACTTTACAAAAAGGTGACCTCTAGTGGCTGAGTTTTTGTCATACAGCACAAAAAAGTCTGCAGATTTTGCAGAAATTGATTTAAAACTTTCTCCAATTAGCACTTACGGCTCATTTTCTTTTCTTTTTCAGAGGGTTCGTCGATTTTAAAGCGATCAACCACATCAGTTTTCCTCTACTAAATAAATCTGAATACTGAAAAACTTTCTAAAACAAATAAAAAGATAAATATAAGATGGAAGAAACGCAAACGTAAAAGCAGTGCATATGTCCCTTTGTTTTGCTTCCAAGATTATCCATGCGGTCTTTAGCAGCTTAACCTTGTTTTGATAACTCACACACAGCATTTGCTCTCCCGGGCCTCAGACGCTTCACCTCTCCCTCTCTCTGACCAACAATAACCTTTTACCCAGAGAGCTCCTATAGGACCAGAGCAGGGGCAGTTTCACAGCACAGCCAACCCATTCGTGCGCACTCAGGGAAATGGTGAGGTGGCACAAAGGCCTGAAACGTTATTGGCTCTGACCAGAATCAGAAGGAGGGGACTGTGACAATGAATGTGCTGAGACACATGTTTACAAGAATGGAGCAGGGAGGAAGAATGGAGCTGCACGGGATCAATGAAAACTGTGAGTGTCATTGTGAACTAAGATTTTTATAACCACAGAAAAAGACTCTCAGAAAAATTTTATATTTCCACGTGGCTGTCTCTGATACTTGTTCTGAGCATTTTTGTGTGCTTGTATGTTTTATGAATGTCAGATTATCTGGTGTGTTTACTCTTAAATCTGTTTCTGGGTCAGTTGTAGTATTGAATGAATGAACTTCAGTGTGCCGAAAGCTCCCAGAGTCAAAGAACAAGAGAGAGGCTTTTACAATGTTTGTCCTGCAAGGAGGAACCTAAATATATCTGACAGCTTTTTCTTTCCTGGAAAAAAAAGGAGAGTCACTCTCCTGACTTGCAAGGCTGGATTTGGGTGTCATACCTGAAGCTTACTTAAAATGTTTGCATGATCTCTTGCAGATGGTGCTTCATTAGAACAGAATGACGGTGAAGAAAGTTAATGAAAGTGAGTCCAGGAGGACACCGTGAGCCTGCGAGTCACAGGACGAACGTGTAAAGCAGATGTTAAATGAGTAATCGCAGGAGTCGGTAGCTTCTGTCTCTGACTTTACTGTACTCTACCAAGTACTTTCCCTGCTCCTATCACACTGAGGCAAGGGGAGGAAAGCTATCATGAGTACTGTTAAGGCAAACTGTGAAGATCACTTCTCAGCGATGAGTAGCACTCAGCTGCTGAACACTTCGCCCGAAGAGTCTGTGTTTGCTCCACAGCCTTCCCAGAGGATTTCACCCACTGTGTTGACAGTCCCCTGTGGGGTCTTTGGTCCCTTGCCGCCGCCTCCTGCAGTCTGGCCTCCACTAGACTTCGCCCTGGGCGCTCTTGCCTGCTGCGCAGCCTGTGTGTTCACCAATCCTCTGGAGGTGGTGAAAACCCGTCTGCAGCTACAGGGGGAGCTTTGTGCTCGAGGATCCTACCAGAGACACTACCGCGGGGTCCTGCAGGCGCTCTGGGTGGTGGGCCGCACGGATGGGCTACGGGGCCTGCAGAAGGGGCTCTCAGCCGGGCTCATCTACCAGGGTGTGATGAACGGCGTGAGGCTGGGCTCGTACTCCTACTGTGAAGCTCTGGGGATCACCTCTTTCCATGGGGGGAGTCTGCTGTCAGGGGCAGGTGCTGGAGCTCTGGGTGCCTTCATAGCTTCTCCTGCCTATCTGGTAAGTTTATTAAAGTTTGTCCTTTTTATAGTATCTTCTATAGTCATTGTTTCCAGAGGAAGGTATTTCAATAAAACATGAAGCTCCATAGAGATAAACTCCTTTAGTGGTATGCCACTGATTTGGCTTTTGTGCATCATTAAAATCAATTCTATCTGCTTTTTTTTGGTTAAGTTTTTTTTGTGACTCTTTTAATTCAAATGAAGTGTCTACCTGTGAGCATCCCCATTACAATATGTATTAATATAAATGAATTTACTTTTTAGGATCTTTTGCATTAATGTTTTTTTTGACAAATCTGTACAGTCTCAACATATGATAAGAAAAGGCCAAATCCATCCATCCAATGCTGAGGTGGTCTGGGCATCTGACGCCAAATATGAGAGAATTAAGAGAAGAAACAATCATGTTTGCTTCATGTGTGGCACTTTCTTAAATCCTTTTGATTAAGTCATCTGATATTTTTTCCAGAAAGGTCTTTTTATTCAAAGTGACTGAAAACAGTGTGTTCTAATCACGTTAAAGCAGAAGTAACAGAAGCATTAGATCTCCCCTAGATGTGTGGCCTGGATGACAAACTCTCAGGAACTAACTAGGTCACTCATTGTTAAACTGTGATCCGCAGCAAAAAAACCCAACACACTTCTAAACTTGTATCACAGTGTAACACAAAGGATTTTCCGTAAACACGAGTAATATGTTACAACAGGATATTTCTCTCTTTTTTTGATATTCAACAGTTCTTATTCATTATTAGTACAAAGCCAAAACAAAACAAACAAAAAACGAACAGAATCACATACATTGCAAATGTATGTAATGATTTTAAATTACATATATGGGGAGAGAGACAAATATTTACCATCTACTCGCCCATAGATTTAAAAAAGAAGAGACAAACGTGAACTCCCATCCTTTGTGTTCACTTCCTAATTACACAACAAGATATTTCTACATTAAAGGAATAGTCACATTCAACATTCAAATACATCATGGTCTGTATGTGTAGATGTGGTTCAGATGACCGAGTGAAGTTCAAACTGATCCTCAGCATTGGGAAGAAAGGTGATTTACATGACTTTGAATGTTGTTATTGGTGTCAGACAAGCTGGTCTGAGTACTGCTGATCTGTTGGGATTTTCCCACATAGCCATCTTTTGACTTTAAAATGAATGGTCTGAAAAAGAAATATCCAGTGAGCTGTAGTTCTCTGTGTGAAAATGGAAACCGGTTTCAGCTGAAAGGAAGGCAACAATAGCTCAAATAACCACTTTTTAAACCCAAAATATGCACAAGAGCATCTCTGGGGATACAATTCACACAAGTTTATCAAAACTCAATCACAGAAGACTGAAAAAACATTGCCTTGTCTTTGAGACTGCATTTCTGCTGCAATGTTCAGATGGTAAAGTCAGAATTTAATGCAAACAACATAATTACTGTTATATAATGTAACAGTGTGGAGGATATACCAACAGGGCATCATTTAAACACCACAGCCTGCCTGCATGTTGTTGCTTCTCTTGTCCATCCCTTTATGACCACAGTGTACACATGTTCTTATGCCTGGTTCCTGCAGTGCAAGAAGGAAGAATGAAGACACTTCAGAAGGCAAAGCAGGTTTGCAGCCCAGTACTAGCAAGGTGTACTTGAAGTGGCTAGTAAGTCTATATTGGAGCAATTTTCAGTTGCTGTAAAAATTCTTTATTCGAAGAAAATTCTAGGAGCTCGCATTTGAAATGATGTGAAATTCTTCCAAAGTTATTGTTCTTCCAGTATTTCCAGTATAAAATCTGCCCCCACGCTCCACCCTTTGTTTCCTTCCTGAACGTCTGCAGCAGAATAATTATACAACTGGGAAATTGTGTTCCAAAAAGACTAACTTTGGAAATTCCCCTGAAATCGTGTGGTGGAATCTGGTTAGTGAGAGACCAGCAACGCTTTCAGACTAACTTGACAAAATCTGACTAAATGGAAAGTTAAAGAGGGGGAAATAAATTACAGTGGCTCAATGAAAGGACAGTAAAATGAAATGAACTTGAAAGAAAAGAAAAGCTAAAATACAAACCCGACATCTGTCTGCATTTGAACTGAAGGGCAAAGAAAGAGACCCCAGACCATTTTCAAAGACACCTCAAAGGTCTTCAAGCTGTTTTTGCCCAGTGTTTGCTAGATCACATAGATGTTTGGCGTAAAGTCATAGATCTAGGTCATTTAGAAAGTCTTCAAAACGCAGTATGATCTCCAGTTTAAATCAAAGTGTGCATTTTGTTAGCAGTCCGTCTACATGCTCTCCAAAAAAACATCACTTTCACATCAGTGTCAAACTTCACCATCACTCGATTTATGTCCTCTGCATTTCTACAACTGTACCACTCTTTTTGTTGTTTTTCTGCCTCAGCTGCCAGTCAATACATCCAAGTCCATCTAAGCTTTCTGGACCGTCATGGAAAGACGATACTGTCTGATGACGTATTTATATCACGGTCACTAAATATATCCTGAATGTTTTTCTTTCCGCCTGCTGCTGCCAAACCTATACAGTATGTTGTGGGTCCTTCTGTGTGCTGCTGGCAGGCAGTGAAGGTTATTTTACTGACACCATATCTGATATCAAGAAGGAAACGATGAGTCTTCTTCTCCGTTTTTATTTAGGTGTTTTGTTTTACATAAAATGCGTCATGATTTCACACGAAGAAAAAAAACTTCCTTTACAAGGAAAGTGCGACTCTCACGTTGTGTAACTGCTTCCTGTGAATATTAGCAGGGTTATCGGGTATCCTTACACAACTCATTCTAACAAATGACTTGGTGACAAGTCTGGTGCTCTGTGCACTTTGAACTCTGTTTCAGCAAAGCATTAAGTGAAGCTCGCTGCTGAAAACTAACCATAAGCCTGAACGCATTTTAAAACGTGCTTGCTGTGTTTTCTTCATAGGTAAAAACCCATCTGCAGGCTCAGACTGTGGCAGCCATTGCAGTAGGTCACCAGCATAACCACCTGGTAAGACGGACACATTTCACATAAAACACAAGAATAGCTTACCAGCTGTTTCAATGTTTAAAGATGTCAGTACAGGTGTATTAAAGTACAATAACTGGCCAGGATGGTGCAAACTATGTGCTATAGTATAATAATTGTGTATTTATCAGGTGTTCATTTGGTAATTAAAATTTGAAGCCCATAACACTCCCGTTAATGACATACCAAGATAGAAAGCTGATAATGAAAACATTAATTGTTGGCACCTGAGGAGAAGAGTGAAAATGGTCATTATAAACACTGCGTATCAATAACATTATGTACCTGTGTTTTCAACAAAAAATGGATACAACTTGTATTTGACGTGTATTTAGTATTTTCTCTAAAATGCAGTGTGGTGAGAGTATAAAACTAAAAGTATAAGTTAAATTATAGAGAAGCACAGTAAAACTGCAGACGTATAGTGTTTAAACAGTACGTGATGCCCTTTAACCATCAGATCATATAATCTGCCCGGCCAAAAGAAAAAGGCTCCACCTATATTTACTTAAGCAAACAAATAAGAGCCTTTCACTGGATATTTACTGCAATAATTAATATGGTTTAGCTGGATACAGGTTATTTAAACTTAACTGATGTAGTGAGCCGCTTCTCATTTCTTAAACAGCCATATCAGAAGACGCATCATGTGGTTGTGGAAAAGATGGGTTAAATTATTTGCCTTCATCCAGCAAAGACAACTAAGGCGATTACTGAAACTACCAAAACCAGGATAAGAGCTGTCTGAAATGCCAGAGCTAGCAAATTAAAACTAAAATATGCTAATTGATATTAATTTTTTTATTATTATTCAGAAGGTTCATTAAACACTCAATTTTTTGGAAAAAAAACAAACAAACAAACAAACAAACAAACATGCAATTTCAGGCAGTTATTTCATGGTTCAGGCTGTAGAGGGGCTGAAAGGACCTGGGAGGATAGTGATGAATCATCATCAAAAAAGGAAGAAATGTGGTTAGAAAAAAGTGATCATGATTGGAGATCCTTTAAACATCTGGTAAAATCAGATCATAAAAAAAAATCATCAGCACAAGTCATGGATATGTCTAACACTGAAAGTAAGTACATTTGCAAACACACATGATGTGAAGCAAACTCGGTGGACTAAAAACAAATCGCTGAATCTTTTTAAGGCTTATCAGAATCAGAAAGGGTTTTATTGCCAAATGTTGAGCAGGTTTACAAATTAGGAAATTGCTGCGGTACTTAGCGCAAACATACTGTCAGACAACGCTTAAATAAACATAAAAATTAAAAGTGCTAAGTGCTAAGAGTGCTCTCAGGGGGAAAAAAAGCCAGTAACAATAGAAACAGATCGTGTGGTCTGAAGAGTCTAGATTTATCCTCTTCCCCAGTGATGTCTCCATCAACGTAAGAAGAGAGGCAGATGAAGTGATGCACCCATCATGCCTGCTCAGAGCCTGCTGCAAGAACCTGCAGGGGGCAGTGTCATAATCTGCAGATGCTTCAGCTGGTCAGGTCTACACCAGTGATATGTGCCCAAAGAATGAGGTCACCTGAATATACTGAATGGCCAGGTTCAGCCATAGGTGGCATGTCTTGTATTCTAAGTTGGCAATGCCAGGATTGGTCAGGCTCCAACTGAAAAGCGTATCAAAAACAGTGTGCCAAAGTGAATGCATTATCAAAGGTTAATAAATACAGCTCCATACATTCATGTGTATGTTCAAATTTGCAGCTAATTGCTCCAGAAATCAGCTGCAGAATCAACAAAAACAGAAAGAGAAGATCTGACTTAATGTATTCAAGGCAAATTTAAATGGGTTGCATGAAGTTACTTCAGGCTGCCTCAATGTTTTGCTTGAATATTATTACCTTTATTTCTGGCTTTAGACAAATACTTTTACTAAGGTATTCGTTTCGCAAATTCTTGTTCACAAATTTTAGTAAAAGTGTCATGTTTTGGCTGTGTGCAGGCAGGAGAAGGACCCAAACGCAAAACTTACCACACAGGAATTAAACTCAAAAAGCTGCTTTATTGCAGAATGGCACAAAAAATATAACAAAACTAACCTGGGACATGGATAACTAACACACAGGGGCGCACATCCATGACGGCGACTACACCACTGACAAAGAGAAACACAGGGCTTAAATACACTGAGGGATAACGAGGGAATGAGACACAGAAGGAGAGCACAGCTGGGAGTAATCAGGCTGGACGAGACAAGGGAAGCAAAACTAGAAACACTGACATGAGACATGGACCTTCAAAGTAAAACAGGAAACACACTGACTGAACTCCAGACATGTAAACTTAACAGGGACTGGGGAGACAGAACATTGGAACCTGAAACATGGTACAGAAAGGCACAGTAGACAACATGGAACACAGTGAAGCCATATTACAAAACTTCAGAACTAAACTTATGATAACCATAACTGAAACCTAGGGAAATAACAAAGACAGTACAACAAAGGACTCAAAACATAAACTATCATAGAAAAAACACAAGAACTCAAAAAGCTGGGTCAGAAAGACCCAGAACCGTGACAAAAAGAGATTTTAAATAAAGAATAAACTTACAGAATAATTATTTCTTTTTTCCTGTAAAAAACTGACTTGTTACCCTCTTATTCTAGTGTACCTACCTTTGAATATTTGTAGGTAAATGCAATTACGAATAATTTTTGTAGATAAAATAATTTAAATCCCATTTAATTACAGGGAAATTACACCCTTAGTTGCAAGCCGTGTTATAAAGTGTTACCTGGTTTTGAGAGTTATTATCTGTAGCCTCTACTCACCAGTGCCTTTGTTTTCCTCTATTTCAGGGAGTGTCTGATGCCTTTGTTACCATCTATCGAAAAGAAGGTTTAATTGGTCTTTGGAGGGGTGTGAATGGGGCTGTGCCTCGAGTCATGGTGGGATCAGCTGCTCAGCTGGCAACCTTCACCTCAGCTAAGGAATGGGTGTCACATTCTCAGGTAATGTTATCTAAACAGCCAAAGGTTTTATGTCATATGTGACCAAGCTGCTGCCATGTGTTGAAAGTCCGATCATCTTTCTTTGTGTCCTTTCAGTGGTTCAGTCCAAACAGCTGGCTCGCAGTCTTGATGGCAGCTGCAGTCAGTGGAGTTGCTGTGGCCATTACCATGACACCATTTGATGTCATTAGTACTCGGCTCTACAACCAGCCGGTGGATGAGTTGCGTAAGGTGAGTCTGTCTTCAACAGTTGTCCTCATTCTCATTATTTTCACAATCTAAAAAAAAGCATACTGTCATTAAAAAAAGCAATATGAAATCATTTCATTTATATTATATATTTGTATTGACCTTTATCATCTAATTTATATATTTTTATAGATATATTATTTCATTTTTTTTTCTTATATTTGGTATATATTTAAGGAGAAATTGCCTTTGAATCTTATTGTGTTGTGTAGAGTGACAATAAAGGAACTCAGTTTATTTCAGTTCAGGAAAGACTTGCTGTGTTTTTTACATCTGTTATGTAGGGGCGTCTGTATCATGGATTTTCAGACTGCATGCTGAAGGTGTGCAGAGCAGAGGGCCTGCTGGGTTTGTATAAAGGCATGGGCCCCGTGTTCCTGCGACTGGCCCCGCACACGGTGCTCAGCATGCTGTTCTGGGATCTGATGAGGCAACAAACAGTGAAGGATAAGTAGAGCTGAAGCACCCATACTTGCACACTGAAAGCACAACTGGGCTCTGCTACAGCTGTTAGAGTGCTCTCTCAGTTAATGAAGCACTGAATTTAAAGCAACTGTGTGACATTTTGGGAAGTATACTTATTTACTTTTCTTTCCGAGAGTGAAATGAGATGGTTCATGGACGTTTTTTTTGGTTAATATGAAGCTAGCATCTGGTTAACTTATCTTAGCATAAAAACAGGTAGTTTAGCTCTGGGCAAAGTTAATAAAATAGTAAATGGTAACTCATAAGAAGCATAATAATTGCATATAAAATAACAAACTGTTGTTTCAACACTTTTTATTAAACACGCAGACCTAATATAAAATGCTGGTAAACTTTAGAGGTACTGATAGCTGCTGGTAGCTCTGACAAGCTAGCTGTTGCCTTTCATTATTAGTCTTTATGCTAAGCTAAGCACATGCCTGCTGGCTGTGGCTTTATATTTAACCAACGGACACTGGGTGCCATATCAAACATCTCATCTTACTCTTTTCCAGAAAGAAACATGAACAAAATGTCAAACTATTGCTTTAAGTACAAGCTTTTCTCTCCCATCTAGCACAGAAAATGAATACTTGAAGCACTTAATCAAGGCTGGCATGTTATGCACATACTGGAAGACATCTTTCTCTAAAAATATGTCTCGAGTGTATACATTTTTTGATTAGGGTTTCTTTATACCTCAAGCTTAAGTCTCGCAGGAATTTGCTTGTTAACTCATAAGTGTGTGAGTGCGGTCAACACGAAGAACAAGTCATCATCATTAAAGCAAACAATTGTTTGCCATGTTTATTACACTGTCTAGATACCTTGTCTGTTGTATTAAAAAAAACAACCTGATGGGATTTTCCTTTTTTAAATTCACTGACTTGAACTGATGTAACTAAAGCCAAGAATGACATTTGTAATTTCAATTTTGTATGTGCAGAAATTTAACCTACTGGTACTTAAAACTTTAACAGCAGTGAACAGTCCTAATAAAGTTTTTTTGTAAGAAACCTGTCTGGTTTGTTTTTGTTCTCTGGATAGGTGGTGAATCTTTTGAATACACTCCTTTAAAACCATTGTAATCTGTGGTGTTTTCTGTATGTTTGAAATGATTTAATTGACTGGGGTTAAAGGTTTCTTTTTGAGAGGCTTTGAAACCCCTTTCATCAAGAACTGATTGGACTAAAAGCTGTAGCCATATCACGTTTCACCTTTGTACCTTTGGGTGGATGGAGCTTGCTAAAACCTGATCAGCTCGAAGAAATAAGGGCAAAGTCATTCATTTGTAGCACCACTTTGAGTGTTATTGCTGAAACGTCACAAGAACATCATAAAGATGTTTCTCTCCTTGATCCTGGGAACCACTGGATGGACACCTTTTGATTCAAAACCATTTGACTGCTTTCTTCAAGGTCTGATAATATGTTTTCTCTGATTATGGTTAAATTCTCAGCACTTTTCAATGTCATGTCTTCTCTTTACTGGCTTATTTTTGGTTGTTGTTTTTTTAAAAGGGCTCGTAGGTGCATGTGGAATATCAGTGCTGTACAACCTGCTGAGAGTTTACAATTTTGTTCAAAATTCCAAGTGAGTTCACCCTTTGAGAGGGAAAAGGGAAAGCATGGCTTGATTTTCAAGAGCGTTGGAGTTATTCTATTTTGTCTGCACACAGTGATTCTGACTCTGGAAATGAAAGCAAACCCAGGTCATCCTCACTGGGCACATCTCTGAGAGGGAACTGGAGATCAGCCCTCCAGTTCTGGATTCTGACTGTCCTCCTCTCTCTGATGGGCTCGAGGGTTTTCTCCCTGATAGTGCTGGAGTTTTCCCTCAGGGCTGTTTCTACCTGGGCGTCAGCTGGACTGGTGAGCTCCTCCTTAACAAATACTGCAGCTATATTTATGCATTGTTTTATGCTTGTATGTATCTGCTTTAGAGTGTTCTTTTATTACACATTTCTAATTCACGTCTCTCAATGCAGGATGCCAGTGGCAGAGGTCTAGACATGATCCTAATCCAGAGCCAGTTCTCCCTGGGTTGTAGCCTCACCGGCACTCTGATCTTCCTCCAACAGGGGGCTCCACACAGCTCCCTCAGCTTATTTCTGGCAGCTGCTCTCAGCTGGAAACTGGCAAGCTTGAGCCACAGTCTGTGGATCCATGTGGCCAAACTCTACCCGCTGCACAGCACTGAACATTGCTGTGGGAAGTGCATCACTCTTCTAACCTCCGGACACACCATACTGGCTTCACTGCAAAGAGCGGTTGTCTTGGCTTTTGCTGTAGCAAGTGTTGCTTCCACCGCTACGGTTTATGACCACTTCCTGTCCCAGAAGGATGCTATGAAGTTCTGGACTCTGCTGACGCTCTGTTACATTATGTTGCTCGTGTATATTCAAGGTGATGGTCGGTACTGCTGAGAGTGGAACTTAATTAATCCTCAGAGAGGAAAGTACCCACGCAGTGTTAAGTAATAATAAAAATATTTAAATAGATTTAAATAATATTATATGGATTTAAGAAATAAAAGTAGACCATAACTGATGAAATGAAGCCCTATAAATGTAAAAAGCAACATATATGAATTAAAAACTTAGAATTGATGGCAAAAACACAGCCTATAAAATCAGTAAGCACAAGGCCAAGGCTTTTTGGGATCATTGTGTAACTTTTCTGTCTGTACTTGCAGAGGATGAGCATCGGCAGACAGACACAGCGGCCCTCCTGCACTCTGTAGTTATGCGGCTGGGAGCCTTGCTGGTCCTCATGCTTGCAATGGGATACTGGTCTGATGTGTTTCAAATCCTCATCGCGTTTCTGGGAGAAGCAGTCTGTCTGTTGCCTTCTCGGGATCTTCTGCAGGCTTTGCTGAAGGTCTGGTCTTTGCTTTGTTATGTTTTAATTGCTGTAGTTGTGAAAATAACACGACAGGAGGTTGAATTCTCATGTTTCCTTTTCAGGAAGAAAAAGAGGAATCAAGCTTGAGCAGACGTGACGAGCGCTCCAGTCACAAAGGAACCACAATTAAAACATCATCACGTGGCAGATAACGGTGCACTCAAACTCCACCACAATGACTGTCTCACCTGTAAAGATGTACTATTACTTTGTGTTGTAAAATAATATTGTGCTTAAAGGCTTTAATTGACTTCTTGCTGTTTTGGGGTCTTATATTAAACAGAAATAATATTAAAAAAAAAAAAGCTGATTTAGTATTTAATGTCCAGCCATTTTTTTTTTCACTAATCCAAGTCAGGCTTGTGTGGGAGCTGGAGTCTGTCCCAACTTTTATGGGGAGAGAGGCGGACAGCTTGCCAGTCTATCACAAAGATAACACAGAGAGACCTACTTGCTTGTCTTTGGACTGTGGGAAGAATCCAGAGAGAACCAACACAGGCACAGAACATGTAAGCTCCACATAAAGAGAGACAACTGGTAACCACTGCACCACTGTGCCACCCATAATGTGTTTTAAATGATGGGAGCCAAATATCTGAAAAGATTTCCAAGCTGCATAACAGAAATGATGTAACCTGGATGATGGTCTTCAACATTGAGACACGTCTGTACAACAATTTAAGTAATCTAGTGATGTAAGACAGGATGGGGACTGTGGATGAGCAGGATACTGATGAAACATACTGCATATTTAAAATAAAATGCTGTTCACTGTGGACAGAGACTGAAACAATAAAAGTGCTCGCTACTATAACAGAGAAGCTTTTGGCACTTATCTGATCACACGACTTTGGAGAACAGTAGAAGTACTGATTAGTTACATCTCATTTATTATAATTCAATAATGTTTCAGTGAAGTTTACTGTGATTTTTTTTCATAAAATATTTAGTTATTTACATTTTATTGTTATATGAACTGAAGAGAAACTGGTGATGTGTTTATTAAAGGATGGCTGTAATCAGGGCATTAACCCAGTGAGGTTAACTAGTTTAAATAGTATTCAGTGTGTGCTAGTTAGAACAAATGTGGTAATTAAAAAAAATATATATACATGCAAAACTATTGAATCACATCTTGTTTCTTTAGATTTTGTTAGGACAATGGAAAATGGGTGCAGCAATTTATTGAAATGTGCAAACAAACATGGAAATACGGTGCTGCTCAATATAGTTTTTAGACCTGACACTTGTCCAGTTTCCTTAGATGTTTCAAGTATACACCACACACAGTGTAGAGATATTCCAAGAGCTCAGCTAATAGCGCTTTGAAAATCACATTATTGGTTAAAATAAAAACAAACAAACAAACAAAAAATACTATTTTATGTCTGTCTAACAAGTGCCTAAAGATTTTTTTTTTTGCTAAGTTATCTGTTATGTGTAAACACAACACTGCTTCATTTCTTGAGTAAGGTGTCTTTTCAGTATTTGAATGAGTTATAGGTTCAGTGGTTTAAAGATTTTAAAAAATCCTGTGAAGATGGTCAGGTACAAAGATTGGGCTGAAAATGAGTGAAAAAGCAGCCAATGTCCAAAGAAAAGCTTTAAAATACTTTCAGAAATCCTGATGAGACATTGCTCAAGACCACTAAAAATAAAACTCTAGTTCCTTGGAAGCAAAATATGAAGAAACTGGTGAACCAAGACTTTTGCTGAGTCTCGGGCCAACATATTGATTCCATAGGGTTAGGATCACTGTCAGTTATGACTTAGGCCTCAGAAAGTTAAACGAGCACTCCAAACACAAACATCAGATCAGAGTTCTGTTAATCTGGAGTGATTTTTAAAAATCTGGAAACAAAACAATCCTACATTGCAAACTAGAGTTGTCGAAGGAGAGAAAGAGAGAGAAGAAAAAGACACATAGGAAGTGGTGATAGAAAACTATATCCAACTGGATTAATGTGAATACTGTAGGAATCAGCTGTTTTGAAGCTTTACCCTTCAGGACTAACAGCCCGATTATGCTGCCGTCTCCTGCTTCGTTTTTTGTCTCTCCCATAACATCATTTAGATTTAATGAAAGTAATCGTTACTGAGTAAAAGCTTGACTTTTCTGCCTTAGCACTTACAAAGTCAGTCTGCGTGTAAAGTGTATTTGTGAGCATGCAATTGTTTTTTCCCATCTGTATGTTTCTTCCTGTTCCTTTGACTTCCTTTCATTCTTTTCAGCTTTTGTTGCTGTTCTGCAAAATCCACCCCTCTAAAATCACATAAACATAAAAATGACACTGTGTTGGTGATTAAATTGAAAAGTCAAGCTGCTGAAAGCAACGAGGAGGTTCAGAGGGTCTAATGAGGATTTGGGCTGTTGGAAGGCGGAGCGTGGCGGTCTGGGGATTGTGTCATCAGTAGGCATGCTCCCTCCTGCAGCCGTGACATCACTGCAGCATTCCTTTCCACAGAGCTGGAACAACAGAGACCCCCATCACTCTCCGCATCGCCATCTCCTGTTAACCCTCTCTGCACATTCCTCCCTCTCTTCTTCCAGGCTGACCCATATCAATCAGGAAAGTTTTATTCAGCGCTCGGTCTCTTGCTCCATCTTCCTGTTTGACTTTTAGGAGGAACCTGACACGCTTTGGCTCAAGAGAGTAATCATAATATTTACTGATCAGCACATCTGATATTACTAAGACTGACTGTGATGGGGAACAGCAAACACAACAAAGCACTTCTTCATAGCTCCCATAGACATCACTCTGTACCCCCTTCTCCTAATATACCAACATCTCCTCTTGCACAATGCCCTGATTCACTGCACCGTAATGCCGCTGGTCCTGGAAAGCTGAGCACAAAAGCTCCCGATGAAGTCCAGCACCTATTATCGGACAGTGTTTTCTGCTCTGTGTGTCCCAAATGGAAGCAGTGCCATGAGACACTGATAGAGAGTCAGGGCTTAAGTGATATAATGTTGTGGGGGAAGGGACGAAGGAAAGAGGGAGAAGAAAAAAGGGAGGCAGACTCAACCAGGGAGGTAGGAAAAATAAAGCTGACAGAACAATGAGGGAGAACTGCACAAGGGAGAAAAAGAGGGCAGTTTGAGATAGAAATTTGCTGGAAAAGGCAGGTACAGTCACATCCTGCTGGCATGCAGAGAGATAAAGAACTGGGAGTTTGCTTGTGTGTGTAGGTGTGTGTGTGTCTCTGCCTGCCTGCTTGCTTCTGGGTAAAAACCTTATGAGGAACTTTATGGCACTGTGTATTGCATTTGTTTAAAAAAAAAAGAAGAAAAAAAGGCTGTGTGATTTTGGTATGAGTGCACACATGTTGCATAACTCAGTGTGGGTGTGTGTCTACGTTCATGCACTCTTGTCTGAGTGTGTGTGTGTGCAGCCTGCCAAGTTTTCATAGTAGATGAATGTGTCATGTCTTTTACTGCACTTTGTCCGAGATTAACTGTTCACCTTTTACGGTCGGGAGGGAGGCGGTGTTGTCATTCAGCCAGAGAAGGAGGAGGAGGGGTCGACTGACGGAGGGAGGTACAGAAGGAAAAGGAGTGGCCTTCTGCAGATAGCAGCCCCTCTCTACCGGAGTAAAGTCTTCTCTCTGAGGCAGCTCATAGGAGGGAAAATAAACCAGAGATTTGGGAGATACAGAACGGGAAAGAAGAAAGAAGCAAAGAGAAAGCGCATTTTCTTCCAGGTATGTGACACAGCCGGTGTGAGTGGTTTTAAAGCATACAGATGATTCACATTTGTGCTTTATGACTCTAGTACCATTCATTATGGTTAATGAGAGCTGTAAGCGGGTGAATACAGCTGTGCAACTATACCTAGATTAAATTAGATCAACATGATAGGAAATAAATGTCTGTTTTGTCTTCAGTATGAGTTCTTGTAGTTTATCGTTGCTTGATATTACAAACTGAGCCTGTGGTTTATGCTGTGTTTCTCTCTGTTGCAAGCAGTCATGAGTTTATTCTTCTTTCTTCCTTTCAGGCTGCGTGAGACTTTTGTACATTCATGGCATCAGCAGCTCCACCAAAAAGGGTGGTTTCTTCTGTCTTCATCACTCTGGCTTCTCCTCACCGAGCCACCGTGACCCCACAGCAGCAGCCTGCCCTTCAAGCCCACAGTGCCCCGGCTAGAGAGAAACTGCATCCTGCTGTAAGAGTCAGCCCAGGTGACAGCATACCTGCCCTCAGGCACAGCAGAGAGGACAAGTCACCGCCGTCAGAGTCTTATGGCGGCCTAAAGAGCAAAGGCTTGACTAATGCGGGGTCCTCGGCCCTGGTTTCAGGCCCACAGAGCCACAATCCCCCCAAACGTGAACCAGGCAAAACACAGCTTCAAGAAAAAAATGACCAGAGGAGTTCATCAGGTATTTATTATATACTTGTTTTTTTTTCATAGTTAAAAAGACTATCTATAAAATATTAGAAAATGGCCCTGCAAGGCCCTTTATTGGGTCTTCCCCAGATCAGAATGATAATTTATGTATTTCCTGACCTGCATTTCAAAATATCTGATCCCAAAATGTAAAATATTGATTTTATACATCTAAAAGACTTTTAAAAGAGCCAAAAAAAAAAAAAAAATTCCAGCCAGTTTCCCAGACAGGGATTGAGCCTTGTCCTAGACTTAAAGAAAAAAAATCAATGAGGATCTCCTCAGAAAAGTTTCTAGGCTTAATTCATGTCTGGGAAACTGAGCCCATGTGCTTTGGTAAGGTTTTCAGTCACTATGAGCCCCCAGAACAGCTGCAGCTCTCCTTGGCATTGATCCTCCAAGTCTTTGACTTCTACTGAAAGAATCAACAGATTCTCCTAAAAGATGTTCCCTATTTGTATCTGTTTCTTTTTTATGATGGTGGTTCTCATGGAGATATGAAATTGGGATGACATAAGGTGAACGTGTAGGCCATAAACCATGATTCATCAAACCATGTTTTACACCCTCCTGCCCCGTGGATAAGGACAGTTTTTTCCTGGAAGAGACAACTCCCATCAGGACACAAATATTTTATTGTTAGACAAGGGTTACTAAAGCAAGAGTGTCAAACTGACATCAGGTGCTGGAAATATACACTATACAGATACGCTTGGACTTGAGGTAAAATGTATGTCCTACATATCTTCTCTCAAACATGTAACACCTGAACCAGTGAACAAAAAGTCACTGTGCAGACTGCTGCATCAACCAGGAGGGCCAAAATGCATGGGGAATTTAAAGTGATGAGTGATCCAGAATAAAATCAGTGAAGGGCCATGGGGGTCTCGATTTTAAAACATGTACTCTGAAAGGACAAGTAGACCAAAACTATGTCAGCACAGCGCATCAGTACATTGTGATTAAACATTCAGTTTTTTCATCTAATTTGTCATTAGTCTGTTTTTTAAATCAGCTGCCTATGTTGCTACAAAATCATCTAAAACTGTGTTCTCATGCCAAACAGAGCTTTTCCCTCCTCCTCCCCCTCCCTCTGATGCACCGCCTCTATGTCCGGGAGAGTTGCCCTCTGAAGAATCAGCACTTCCACCACCTCCTCCAGCCCAAGAGTCTTTCCCCCACCCCGTGACCCCAGGCCAGCAGCCAGTTTACAACCCAGAGGTATGCAGACTTATCTTACAGTGTCACTATAACAAATGACATTTAAAATCTTCCAGTTTGCAGCTTCAAAAACGTGATGCCAAATTTCCTTTAAAAAAAAAATGCCTTCAATTATTTTAAACACACGAGCATTTATTTTGTCTGCAATGAAGGATTAGCTTTCCACAGCTTTTCCACAAGCCTTTCACAGTGGCTGTAAAGCGCCATCACCAAAACATAAAGAACAGGGCTCTTATACGACCATCTTACTAAAAGTGTGCACACTTGCTTTCACAAAATCACCAACTTCCAAACTGCTCCCCTAAATAAACAAAAACTTTATTGCTCCATGTCTGTGTAGACAAAGATCAGTTTGGGGGGGGACTGCTAAATTACTTTCTTCCTCTCCGGTTTCTGAGAATTTTACTGACTGAATAAAAGCTGAAAGGTTTCCCTTTAAAAACGCTTAAACTCAACAACTCCTCTTTGAATCACCAGCAGGTCTTTACACGAAAGAGTAGGTAAAGTCTTTATGCGACTGGTGAAAAGGGTTAGAAATAATCTGTTAAACTCAGTAGAATTAAAATGTTTGAAGTATTAAAAAAAATAGTATTCACCACCCATTATAAAACCAAACCTTAAAACCACAGTGAAATTAAAATGTTTGTGTGGCTTGGTCCTGATGATGTGCTGTGGATGACTCTGGTGTTTCTTACGCCTGTCACATTCAGAGCCACTTTTAAACAACTCCCACATGTGTTCAAAATCAAGCGCTGCTAAATTATGCAGTTCGCCTCTGTAGGCCAAACTCAACTTGTCAGTTTAATAATGCGCTTTACATTTAAGGTGAAAGCAAGAACACCATCTAGTGGGTTAAGCTCAGATGACCAAATCCACAGGATCCACCAAAACAGCCAAGACAAAGAGAGCAAAGGTAACCTGATCTCTTTTTATACTTTTTGCCACTCTGCGTGCCACATTATTATAACCTGGTTTGACTTTGTGTGTGTGAACAATGCAGATCTGTGCGGCTTCTGTCGAAAGCCAATGGCTCCTTCTGAACCTGCGATAGAGGCCTTAAACAGGACTTACCATGATGGCTGCTTCCAGTGTAGATCTTGTCACATTCCCTTGGCTGGTAAACAGTACTACAACAAGGCCGGGATCCCGCTCTGCGAAGACTGTTACCAGGTAGTGCAATGCAGCGTGTTAACCAAGCTGTGAATATACATGCAAACTTTAACCTCCTGAAACCTGAGCTCTTCTTTGGGTTTAATTTTCGTGTTTCTTCTAGCTTTTTGAGATTAGCTGGACCTGATGAGTAGAAAAACTAAACATCACCATTGAACAGAAAGGATTTTTTAAAAACTGGTTTATTTTACAGCAATGTCACCACTTCTGAACATTTTTGAAGTGTTGAAATACTGAGGAGAATGAAGCAAAAGGTGCAGAAAGCCCAAAATGTATCCCCATATGAGGACACAAGGTCTCAGGTGGTTAAAAAAAAGCTCAAAGCCATGTTTTGGTTTTTTTTTTGTTTTGTTTTTTTTACATTTGTGCATTCATATTTTAAGCTCAATGTAATGTTTCACAGGACTGGTAAATGGTTCTTATACAGCGCCTTTCTACTCTTTATACTGCAAGCCTCATTCACCCATTCACACACACACACACATTTTTTTCTAAGCCTGAGCGCTCTCTGTCTAACATTCACACTCTGATGAATGCATCATGAGCCGGGGATCAAACCACCACCACCCTACAGTTAGTAGACAGCCTGCTCTACCTGCTGGACACAGACGCCCCATTCAAGTAGAATGTCTTTCTCCACTACATTCATTAAAACTATAAGTGAAGACAAATTATTTGCAAGTTCTTCATTGCTGAAGCAACCATTTCCCTGCTCTATTTCCTCTCC